CCTGCCAGCCTTTGTCACGACACACAGCGCTGGGGCAGCAGCTTCTGGTGGTCCCATATTCTTCGGCGATCCAGTCAATGGCTACACAACAGCCTACATCTTTCGTATCCCAGATATGCATGCCCGCGGCCACAAGCGTGTGTATGCATTTCTGGCTCTTAGCACACACAAGGAGAGGCTGGCGATGAAGACGTTTGGTTTCATGGCTGCCGCTTTCCGCGATCTTGCTTCATGGATTCAGCAGTTGGCGGAGGCTGAGGCCGAAAAAGCTGCCGAAGCTAGCCCCCTCGGAGGCTCCCAGCACCACAGCTCTTATCCTACAATGATCAAGCCTGAACGTGAAGGACAAGACCGTGGTGGCAGCAGCTTCCTCACAGGAGGTGGCGGCTTCTCAAGGAGAATGGGCGGTGGTCCCGGCGGTGTCTCACTCAAAGCTCGAGGCCTTGCTGAACTTGTCGGCATGCCCGACTTCTTTATTGAGCTGCATGCCAAGTTTGTGAAGCTTATGCTTGAACTTGGCGTAGCGCTCAGCTCCTAGGAGCTGCAACGGCAGCAGCACACATACGTTCACAACAGAGAATCACTGCCTATGTCATCAATTCTAGGCAGTTGAAATCGCAATCCGTACGAAACATATCAACGTACAAATCACCTACATTCATGGTGTGGCAGGCTTGAATCGGTCTGACCTCACTAACGAAGCAGACACTGCGGCCAGAACCAAAGCAGTAATGGGTAATGATAATCGTAATTACCTTGCCCGCTGCTCGAACAGAGAGGTGGAGAGGAGGGGAAGTGAGGGATTGCAGAGGGACGACGGATATACCCCCCTAATTGAGATGGCAGGCATCTCATTTGCATTGGGACTTTTTGCATTAGCGAACGGCGGCATCGCTTTCTTATCTTTTTTTCCCAAGCGGTTTTCACGACTAAGCAGGCAGGCAGGGCATGACTTTGATAGACTTTGGGATTCTACTTTTTTCTTCTTCTTTTCCTTTTGGCCATGGCTTCATGATTCACGGGTTTTCTTCATGTAATTCCTTCCCTCAGATTCCCCCCGAGAGTAACGACATTAGACTTCACAACGAAAGCTTCTAGGCTCACGTCTGTGGTAAAAATAAAAAAAAAGACACACGGAGGAAAGGAAAAGAAAAAGGAGAACGGAAAAGGGCAAAAGGCAAACAAGGTAAAAGAAGGGAAAGGATTCCGAATCAATAGAAGGGGATTCTCGGATCCGGAAAAGTACTAAGGATAGGGAAAAGGGGGCTTAGCAAAATCCAATATTATCACCCTGAGCAATGAGACTCTGATGACGATGTTGTAATCCATTCTGACCTTCGTTCATTCTTGGTATGTGACTTGTTCACGAGTAGGTAGTTCAAGTATACCTCATATCCTATCCATAAGGGAGGCAAAAAAGAAAGATATAGGTAGGTCGACTGATACGGTAATAGGATCGAGAAGGAAAGATGAGATGTGATGGTGATCCTTTTGTTACCTATCGATTCACCCATCAAGTGGAACCACCTCCCCCTCCCCCTTTTCGATAAGGTATGTCCGGCTGGCCATCCGAGTACAATAGAAAGAGACCACAACCGAAACTTTTTCGGATGCTGCCGAATGGTGGACTCCGGTTGTGTTGCTTGACGTAGGTACGGAGTAACGTTTCCTCCAGCACTGTTCCCCGACGACGACGACAACGATGAACAGCCAGTTCTCGGGGCACCTTTTCTTTGTCTTTTGAGCTGTTGGGGGGTCTCTTTTCCCACTCACGTACACACACAGACTCTTAAGATGACATGGAGGAGGTAATGGAAATAAATTAAGCTAATGTCGGAAATCGTAGCACGACCGACACACTTCATATTCTCGCGTTCTTTATCTCAATATTGGGGGGTTTATCTACTACGCTTTGAAATACTTACTACTGAGATTCGACCGCACCGGTTCCCCCCTCCTCCCCCCCCCCCTCTCGGCGATTCTTTCAAAGGAGACTAGTAGAAGTTCTGATAGCAACCTAGAAGCTTAACTGGTAAAATAGCTGGAGTAAGATCAGCAGAACCAATCTAAGAACGTATCCGAAACGTTTATCCAGGATGTATGTGTTGGAAGAGGCATGCGTAGTTGAGATCCACGTCATACAAATTCTCATCTCGATGGGCTTAACCGCGTACTTGATTACCTCTGATGGACCTGGCAAAATTAACGGGAGAAAGGAAGCGGTCCTTCAGGACGCAGTCGTTATCGCACATTCTCAAGCACACGAGTGAAACGGATTTAAAAAGCAGGTTTAAACATGTTTTGACGGCAACGAAACTTCTTTATCGAGTGTATTGTGTTGTACAACGCGACGCCAAGCCTCGCCTCCCCGAAGCCTTGTAAAGTCTATCCCTTGCCTTTCCAGCCGTGCCCTTCGTGACATTACATTGCCAGCCTGGCAGCGAGCTCTGTTCATTCCTCCCACGATGCGCCGTTTCCGCCTGCGCCTCCCTCTCGTGGAGACTTGTCGCTTATTTGTAGAAATCAAACTTGTTCTCGTCGCTCGTACCCTTGACCTGGCTTGAGTAGGCGTCCTCCAAATCACTCTGGATGATGTTGTAGCGGTTCTTCCGCACGGCGCGGAGACCAGCCTCCTGCATGATGGCAGCGATGACGGCACCACTGAGAGGGTCGTTGCGAACAATCAAGGAGTCCATGTCGACCTCGGGGGCCAAGCTCATCTTGCTAGCAATGGTGGAGAAAATGAGACGACGCTCGCGTCTATCTCTCAAGCTAGGGAACTCGATCTTTCGGTCCAGACGACCGGGACGGAGAAGGGCAGGGTCGAGGGTATCGGCTCTGTTCGTGGCCATGATGACCTTGACGTTGGCGGTCTGGTCGAAACCGTCCATTTGGTTGAGAAGTTCGAGAAGAATACGCTGAACTTCACGATCGGCACCGGTCTGCGCATCGAAACGTTTCGTCGCAATGGCGTCAATCTCATCAATGAAGATAATGGCGGGGGCGTTCTCGCGGGCCATGCGGAAGACGTCGCGGACCATACGAGGACCCTCACCGAGGTACTTCTGAACGAACTCAGATCCGACAACACGAATGAAGTTGGCCGTCGTCGAGTTCGCCACAGCCTTGACCAGCATCGTCTTGCCTGTTCCCGGAGGACCGTAGAGCAAGACACCGCGAGGGGGGTCGATACCAATCTGCTTGTAGAGGTCGAAATGCGTCAACGGCAGCTCGACAGCCTCGCGGATCTCCTGCTTCTGCATATCCAGACCACCAACATCGGCGTACGTCACATCGGGCTTCTCGTCGGCGCCAAGCATGGCAATGGACGAGTCGGCTTCGGGAGGGAGGATGTCGACGAGGGCGTTGGAGTGGCGGTGGAGGGCGACGGAGGAAGAGGGCTTGAGCTTCTCGCGGTCGAGGGTGGAGAGAATGCGGACGACATAATTCGAACCGGTGGATGACTGTACGATTCCGGTGCTATGATGAGTTAGCATTGTTGAGCTCCCAGTGGGAGCTGTCTGCGGGGTCTGCATACTTCTGGTCGATGGCCTCCATAAACTGCCCAATCACCAAAGGAACACTCTGGATTCGCTTGATCTCCTCTTGAGCCCGGACAAGCTCGCGCTTCAGACTCCTTCACCAGCGGGTCAGCAAATCAGAAGGTACGCATTGATCGTGCGCGTATCAAACCTCTGCTCATCCTTGATGTACTCCTCCTGCAACTGGATGTATTCCAGTTGTCTTTGTAACTTCTTCAATGTGGCATAGTCGTCACCTCCTTCCGTCGCGATACCCTCGAAGTTCTCAATACTAGGGATTGTTGAGGGAGCTGTCTTCTTGTGAGGGGCGACTTGGTTGGCCGGGTTTTCCACCAAGACGTCACCCATTGTGTCGGATATTTAGGAGATATTAAAGGCGTGTGATAGGGACTTTCGGTACTCGAGATGCCTCGAAATTCGTAGAGGATGGGAGTTCGCGGGGGATGGGCGGTGTTGTTGACGATGGCAAGATTGTTGATTCAAGCTGGATGGTGGTGGTGCTTGCTTGCTTGAGCTTGCCTGTAGGCGTCAATCGGATACGCATGCAGCGCAGCCTTTCAGCCCAGCCCAGCTTAGTCAGGAACCTGGTCGGAGCTCTGAGGTCACGTGTCAGAGGAATACCAGGCAGGCCCCCACTGGGCACTCTTTGGTTGATTGATTGGCTCAGCAGATGACCTGGAGCAAGGCGAAGTGCCTGCAGCACGTTACCCAGACTGGAGGCAGCGACGACCTCCGATTGGCTTGAGGCGGGGACACTTACCCCCATGTACTGTGGAGACGGCACAGGATCCCTGCCATGATGATGTGAGGGTCTCTCCCGCAATTCCACTGTTAGAGTCGTCGGTGAGTGTCACCGTCGGTCCTTAGCACGGCCTGCTATTCCGGCACCTATCTCTTATCAACCCCCCCATGGGATGATGTGTTCACCGGCCGGGTGCCTCGTTGGGCCTTCGTCCAGCAAGCCGACCTAGCACTGTACAGTCACAGGCACTCCTTCTCTCCATTCTCGTACCTCTAATCCCACTTCTGACTCCTTCAACATCTGCTTCACTTTGACGCTGCACTGCTTCTCTACCATACATGACCTGCCTTCCAGTGTGCGTTCTCTCGTGCTTCTCCTCGATCTTTCTGACTACTTTCAATCACCCTTGAACTTTATCGTCTCATCTTGCTTGGGGCCTTCCCTCTGTTCCCCTCCGAAACTACATACATCATGTCGTCGTCGATTGCAATCCCGATGACCCCGTCGTCGGCCAACACATATCACCACCACCAGTCACCCCAGGTCCGGGGTGCTGCTAGCTCTTCCTCGTCGACATACTCCAGTTCGCCTCAAACATCTTCCCCGACTTCCATTCAGAAGCGAAAGATGGTACATGAGCGTCGTCCCAGCCTTCTCAGTAAGTCATTCCACGTTACTCTGAATCTACACAGCCCGGACCTGCAGCCTTGCCCGACATGCCTGTCTCGGACTCTGTACATGTCGACTTGGGACCTTTGCTCACATCACGGACAGGCTCCGCCTTGTCGAAGCAGGAAAGCACCGTTATCAACATCGGCGAACCAAACGGAACTCCCCGCCTTGTAAGACCACTTTCGTCCACCTCAGGGAACGAATGCTAACAAGCCACCCAGATCACCTACCTCTCTTCGAGCCAGGGCTTTGCGTGGAACCCAGGTGAGTAAATGTTGCCCCGGCCTCTACTCCTGTTACTTACTGACCACTTTGTCCAGAGATCTTCCTGCCGTCTTATGTCGATTGTGACTACACCCCGCTCGAGAACCGACGGGAGCCCGTACACGAGATCGTCCTCAGCGATGAGGAGATCAACAACATGTTTCCCCAATAACGGCGTCCCTCAGAGACGGCCATGACGCTACACATGAACATCTACGTCCTGAGCGCTTAGACCGACGATTCTCACGAGACACATTTTCTTTCCACATCACGGCGTCCGGCCACGACCTGTACCCCCCCTCCGACTCTTTTACATTATTTATCAGACTGCTTTACGAACGAATCACCACGGCAAAAGGGCCCATGTTCGGTCCGGATACGACCGTGCATGGTAGTACACCAAGTGGAAACACAGTACAAGTCGCATTTCCTTCATCTCGACATCGAGGAGCTATTAGTGGCACCGGCCTTTGGGAATCATTGGGGGAGTTGGGATCGTTTTGGCGAGACGGGTTTCATTGAACCAAGTTGCATTTCTTATCTGTTTGTTGCCGTTTGCTTTTCTTTTGGATTGGGGCGTTCCACGGGATTGCAAGCACATACCCTCCTCGATCGTGTACTATGCCGCCTTTACCGCGGCTTTCCCTTTTCATTGATTTCCCACCAGTTCCATAGTTCAATAGCGTCACAAGGACACTATTCAAGTCAAAAGCCGTCCGCCACCGTGATCCACACAATATCCTGACCTATGGCGTAGATTTGAGCCTATCAAGCATGTTCCTGTCTCTGTCTGTACGAAAGTTCGGGCAGTCAAGGTAGCGTAGGCCGGTCAGGTACCACGTCAGGGTCCACGGGTACCGTCGGAGTAATTGGGCAGACCAGCCGATAACCAACCACCTATCTTGCAGCCACTGAGTGTATGCCTTAGGTACTGAGAGCCCAATGTTCACAATCGTGCAATACGTGCAAACAGTATCATGTCGATCTCGAAAATCGCTGAAACGGGGCCCCCTTCAACTTCTGACTCGAAACCTCAGTTCTCTGGTCACTGTTAGCCCCCATCTCCCGGCGCACTGTCGTCGGTGTGGCCTGTTTGGACGCCATTCCGTCCCAGATGGCGTTCTGAGAAAGAGGGTCCAGTTGGCTCCAGACCGCGGAGGACCGCCAGTACCGCAGGCCCGGCGCTACTGTACCTTCACCGCACACCCGAGGACCAACAACGCCATGGCACCTAAACCCCTTCCAAGCAAAGCAAGCTCCGCTTTCGCTGTAGGCTTTCCCCGTCTTGGGAAGGGAATCCATCTCCCCCCCCCACGTTTGTGACATGGGAATATGGTGGTGTAAGTGCGATGGCATTTGGTGTCCTCTGGTTTTCCTGTGCTCGTTGGGTTCGTGGCCCGAACACTAGAGGCGATGCAGACATATTTACGGCACGATACACCATCTGGAAGAAGAACAGCAAGGTAAGGTCTGGCAAGATGTCCCGGTTTCTTCCCTCGCTGAGCACTGAGGTGTGCCGCACCGTACCGGCTATTTCTCACCTTGAAAGGTAACACGAAACAGCGTCCACCCCAGCTGCATCAACCAGCTGAACCATCCCGTAAACCCTCGCCCCGCAATTTCTCATTGTGAGTGTTCAGCGTACCTCCATATTTACGGACAAGAAACGCAGTGTTGGAAGTCCTTGAGCTACCTTACCCCTTGGTTTTGATTCGATGGTGCGGTAAAATCGTCTTTCCTCTGTACTCCCCCAATGCAGGCCCGTCCCAGTTTCGCAGTCATAGCGCCGAGATGCATCGTCCCAGAGGACCCAAACGGACGGGGGGGAACGGACGTCCAGCAAAGAATGCCAAGTTTGAGAGTACCTACCGCCATTCAAAGTCGAAAAAGAGTTTGGGCCATTTTGCCTGCGTTTGTGCCACCACCTGTACATACAACAGTCTGTACGGAGTACAGCATGGTATAACCGGTTCGGCCGGGAAGCATAAGGTGTTGGATAAATGTGTATGGGCAGGGAAAGTATGCGATGCTATTTCGAACATGGTGGCCCGGCTGGTGCCGCAAACACACACACACCGTCCGACACCGAACCGTCGTCATTCTTCATGTCTCTCATATATTGACTATTGACGTCGATCCCTTCTCGCCCATCCCTTTGAGCAAGATCCGAACCGTGGGACTGACCTTGTCGCCCCAGGCTCCGGTGCTGCACCTCGTGACCTTGGCGATGATCATATACTTAGTGTACTCACCTTTCCCCTTGCAGCATTCATGCAATGCATGAGGGTAAAGCTGGATGTACTGTGGTAGGTAAAACTAAAATTGGGGGGGGGGGGGGTTCTTTGCTGGTGATGCTTGTCCCGCACAGTGCCACCGCCCATCATTCCCTCTCAAAGGTGAACGGAACAGGTCTACTGGTCTGTGTTCCACACCGAACCGTTTGCTGAACCTCCTCGGAGCGACTGTCCGATCTCGGCAGTTCTCGGGGTTGGCTCGACTGGTGTTGCATTGGGATCGATTCAGTTAGGCCGCCTTGAGGTACCTTGGGGTTTGGAATCTGGGGAGCGTCACATGTCGATAAGCAGATAAGATAGAGATGCACTAACATCTGATAAGACCAACTACCTTAGGTAAGTGGGAAAAAGCACAGGTCAGATCGGATGACGGGCTCGACGCGCACCGATGGGGGGACCGTTGACCGGGGTGAGGTAGTGTCGAACTGGACCGTCCCGTCGTCAAGCAAACCAAGCGCAAGTAAACATCCACAGCGAGGACAAACACATCCCACCACGACTTGACCCCCCCCCCCCCCCACCACCCACGACGCGGCCAAAACGTTCGCGCGCGAGACCAAATCGAACTCGAGGAACACCCCCCTCCCGAAACGGACAATCAAGAACCATCAACACCAAACCGCGCTTTTCGAAACCTCCAAGATCCCATTCGACGTATTAGTGAAAAAAGGAGAAGGGGGAGGAGAGGGAAAAGTAAAGACCAAAAAGAGAAGAGGCAAAAGAAAGCAGAAACGAAGAAACACAAAGCCATGGAGGACGCCCACAGGAAAATCGAGCTGCAATCCCGCGACGACCTCGCGTATCTGCTCACCAACGTCCGGCGCGCCGCGCAAGAACAGCTCGACAATGCGTTTCCGCACATTGAGGGTAGCAATGCGCAAGAGGACGAGCTGCGGGCGCCTATTGAGCGTCTGGTCAACGAGGTAAGCCCAACGAATTTCGCCTTTACCATGCCCGTGCCGCAAGGCTTCGCCTTTCTTTTGGTCTCGGCAACATTTCTCGACGACGTCGACGTATCTTGCTTCGAGGTTCCTCCTCCCAAAGGCAGAAAGGAAAAGGGAACGAGAGCACTTCTTTTGAAAAGCCATGTTCCAGTCCCAATCCCCAAGATACCGCTAATACTTACCCCCCTCAAAAACACAGTACATCGACAAAACATTCACCTACGCAGCCCCAAACCTCTCCATAAACGGTATGGACACCGACCCGGCAACCTTCCTCTCCAACACAAGCCCCTCGGACGAACCAGAAGAAGCCTACGAACCCTGGGACGCCCGCCTCCGCCAGCGCGTCGAAGACCTCGCGCGCGAAGAAGAAGACCTCCTTAACGAAATTGCCGCCCTCAAAAAAACCGTGCCCGGCGCCATCGCCGCCGCGACGACAAACGAATTCAAAGCCGCCGCCGCGGCGGACGAGGCCGCCTTCGAGGCTGCTAAAAAGGCAAAGGAGGACGAGACGAGGGAGATGGAAGGGCAAGTGCTCCCGCTTGAGACGATGGAAAGGAGGGCCGAGGTCAAGGAGGCGTTTGGCGGCGCGGTAGGCGGGTTGGGGAGGTTGAAGAAGACGATGCCTGCTACTGTTGCCAAGATGGAGAGGGCGAGGGTTGCGGGGGAGTATACTGTGACGGAACGGTCGTAAGGGCGCATTTTATGGCAGAAGTTCTTTCAACCTCATGGGAGTTACGGCGTTGGGAAATTATACCACAATGAAGGGCATCCAGCGAAACAGCTGATGACCCATGGGCAGTGCTTAGTGCATGTGCTGATTGCAGTCTAATAAAGTCTGGAAAGCATAGTGATGATCTCCTTGTTTGTGAATATATCATCCAAATGGATCCACTAATCAAAATGAAAGTATGTATAAAGCGAAATAGCAAAGGTTGCCAGGATCAACACGTGTATGAGCGGTTCTAAGAAAAGATGCTCTTGTTTTTAGGTAGCCACCCCCATCTTCCACCCAACCCAGTGTCTTTCTTCACCTCAAGACACAACACCACATTTGTCAACGCCTTCTCTCTAACTGCTCATCCGGCAGCGCCACTGTCAAATCACAACCTCAATTCCAATGCACGCAATTTTCCTCAGGGCAACGTTTATGCCGCAGCAGGAGCCTTGGCGTCAGCAGTAGCAGCAGCCGCAGGAGCAGCAGCGCCGGCAGCCGGAGCAGTAACGGTCTCGCCGCCCTTGTTCTCAATGACGTCGCCGCCGGCAGTAGCAGCGGCCTTGGCCTCGGGCTTCTGCCACCAGGGCTCCTTAGTCCACTCGGCCTCGTGCCACGGGCCGGCGTCGCTGAGCTGGCAGCCACCCTGGCACTCGCACTTGCCACCAAGGGACTTGGGCAGGTTCTCGGCGGGAATCTGGTTCAGGAGCTCCTTCTGGTAGCCGGAGCCGAGGATGTTGATCTTGGAGACGGTGACGGGATCGAGCCAGCCCTTGACGACGGACCAGACAGTGGAGAAGCCCCAAGGAGCGTTGATCATGTAGAGTTTGCCGAGACGCTCGGGGTAGTAGTTCTGGGAGACAACGGAGGCCTGCTTGACGTAACTGTAGACCTGGGGGACGCGAGTGATGGTGACGCCCTTGAGGTCCATGATGGTGCAGCACGTCTCAACGAGGTGGTTGGATTTGCGGGAGCAGGCGGGGAAGCGGGGGTCGGCGCACTTCTCGTACTCGACGGCCAGGTTGGTCAACATGCGCTCGGCGGTGGTGATCTTGTACATGGCGTTCAGGTCGATGCCACCGAGTTGCTCAATGTAGACGGGGCGGCCATCCTGTGAAGTAATGCGTTAGTGGGTGAATTTACCAAGCAGGTTGTCTTGTTCCTAAGGCGGCGTACCTTGTCGGTCTTGTGGTAGTACTGGGGGTAGAACTTGAACACCTCTTCCTTCTCGGGGTATTCCCAGGTCGGCACGGTGTTGTCGAGCTTGGTCGTTTTCCGCCAGGTCTCGAAATCGACGAACCTAAATCGTATTCGTCAGCTATGTGTTGCACGATCAGATGCGGAAGGCAAGACACCGCTTACATCTGCTTGGCGAGGTTGACATCGAACTTGCGGGCGCGAAGGAAGCGCAGCTATCATTCAGCTGTTAGTACTCTGGATGAGAAACTCGCAGGCATCTCTGCTGCTGCGTGTCTGCCATAAGATGGGAGTGAATACCAGAGTCAGGGTGTCGAGGCGCTTGTCGTAGCCATCCGACTCAAGCATCAGGCGCAGCTGAGCGACCTGGGCCTTTTGCTCGGGGGTGAGGTGGCCAGGGTGACCGTTGGCCGCCGTCGGGGCGACGGTCGGGTAGTCGTACTGGTCGTACTTGGGATCGAGTTCTTGCTGGGACATGGTGGGGGTTTGGTTCTAGGGGTCTTCTCGTTGACGAGGAAAGAAGATCGGTGTAGCTAGAGGGATTTTGCAGAGCTCCCCAAAAAAGAAGAGAGAAAGAGAAAAGGCGGGGTGGAGGAGAGGTTATGGGATTCGGGGACAATAGGACAACGGCAACAAGTTATTTGTCCTGAAGAAAGTTGCCAACCAGGATTGTAGGTGTTTAGGAGAGAAGAGCTGGTTGTGGGGAAAGGTAAGGGAAAGGAAGATCTCTAGCGGGAAAGTAGGGGAGGCTTGGGAAGTCGAATTAAAGTGAACCTGCTGGCAGAATGCCAAAAATCGTCATAGCGACCGGTCCCGCACCGCTGTTGCCCCTGGCCGCCCCTCACGAATTGGGCTCTCCCATCGAACCTAGCCGGCCGTCTACACCGCACTTACGCAGCTACGGACACGCACCCACGGTGCCACGCCTGCCACGGCACCCGCATCTTATTAAGATACGAAGTACGTATGTCCTTCCACCACAGCCCAGCCTTACGTAATGATCTGGAGTTCTACCCACGAGCACCCAGAGCCGCTGTAGATTGGTGTAGTCTGCCACCTCATGCCAAACATCGTCTCAGATCTTAGCTTGCGGGCGTTGTTCTCGGTGGTCATGATTCGGTCACGGTCAGCTGCACCGGGCCAGCGCCGGTGGTATCGAGATGGCGGCTGATCCAATGGCTAAAACTTTCCTTACTAAGTTTAGCTAACCTCGGACGGATTTCTGACAGGTTGGCCACCAGGGATTAAACATCATATGTGCATAGCTATGCTGTGACGATGTACTGGTAGTCTGCGATCTTGCACAGCACTAACGCACACCTCTAGATTCGCTTTCGTGATCGTGACAATGCCATATAGGGGTATCGATAACCGAAGGCCTTCAGCCACGACCTTGAAATTAAATCATCTACGGATACGTGACCCTAGTCGGGATTCGTAAGCTTGCAGGGCTATTGCTTGAACCAACGGCCCAACGATCCGGATGGTGTTGTATAAAATTCAGAGCTCCTGTTTTATGCTGTGCCGTGAAATTGGGCCTGTGCAAGAAGTGGCAGAATATCATCAAGTCGGTTCTTTGTTTGGTATCGAGCTTTTCGCTTTTTAACTGCCAGCCTTATCCTCGTCCTTTTCCTTCTTGATATCCTTTCCTTCTTCCTTGTCTTTCCGCTTTTGAACGACCTCCCAGTTGTATACTCTCGCAATGGCAACTTCCATAGTCTGTGCATGATTAGTATGCGCGATCGAGCCCGTCTCGTCTGGGTGCTAAATGTTACCGTAATTTGCTCTCTCAGGAAATCCAGGTCCTCCTCGCAGTTTGATAAGCTCGTTTTCGCCGTTGATAGCTTGGACTCGAGTAGGGTCTCGGCTTCGTCGACGGGATACGACAACATGACATTTGCCTGTTGTACAGTCAGCCTTCCAAACCCATGGCATCCTCTACTGCGAAGCAGTTATTGTCATACGCCTAGCCAAATGTACACCTCGTCAGTGGGCGGGATCTTTGCTTTGGAGTAAAGCGTATCGTTCAGCTCGAATGTCGTCTCGATCGGTTCATCGTCGTCCTGTCTCTCATGTCAGCGCCTCCTGTCAATAAACGCATCCGTGAGCGGCTGGGTACCTGTCTGAGCTTCAGAAACCGGACAGAGTCGAGCGTCTTCTGGATATCGGGGATCTTGTCGTTCAGTCCAGCCATCCTCTTCTGAAGATTCAGCTCCATGAACTGGTATTTCCTGCGCAGAAGAATGATGTGTTACCAGCTGTTCCCCATGTGCCTAGCCTGGCCTTGCCCTTCCCGGTAGCCTCGTTCGATGCGTCGGATTGAAGTTCTGTTGTGGCATGACAAGCCTACCCATCAGGCGGACCGGCGCGTGGGCGACTCACGAAATCATCTCCTGGAAGTTGCGCATCGTCGGTTCGACATCTTCACGGGTGGTGACGTAGTCCTCGACCTTGTCGACGAACGGCGCCTTGGGGATACCTCGCGGGTTGCTAGGTGTGGCGTCCTTGCTGTGGAGGTGGGTGAAAAAATATGGTCAGCTTGGTGCGCGGCGACGAACGAGGTCGAGGAGACATACACAGCCGTCTCCGGCTTCTTTCCCGCTGCCGACATTGTGAAAATTTGAGCTGATTTTACCTTCAGCGCATCTCTCTGATGTTAGTAGGAACTCGCGATTTTTCGCAACGGTGTGGAGGGGGAGCTGCAGTGACGGTACCGCCCAATCTACGGTGGCCTGTTCACCGAGGTGAGGGGTCAAGGTACATGCTTGGTGGGGTAGTTACCTCACCGAAGGTAGGTACCTAGTCACTAGCCAGCTCTACCTTGGTTAAGGAAGCTAGCTGTCACTCCGGACCATTATAGCAATCGCCAGTCTAACATTCCTTACCTTATGATGGGATCAAAAGCTCTGAAACAAATGACAAATGAAGACGAATACAAGACTCTCGATTGTTTGAATACACATGGTGAGGCTTGGGTGCTAGTAGATGCTTCGGTTACTCGCACTCGACACTAACTTGTAGCATCGAGTTGGAACATAGGGCGATCTCTGAGAGCATTGACGAGCAAGTCTCCATCTCGACAGCGGAGTTGAACTCCTAAAGATCGCACAGGCTTTGAAGGATGACTGAAGGCCTCGCCGGCGACCTCATAACCGCGCTGCCGCGCTTAGCCAGCTTACTCATCAAGGTGAGTATTCACCGCCGCCATAAACAGCTTAGCAATAGCACGCCATGACCGCCCTGCATGTCCCCACAGACAGCTTGCCTTATCTGTGTCTGGGGGGGGGGGGGTGGCTTCTTGATAAATAATTCCATTGAGCTTAAACCGGGACAAGTGGTCGCCGATTTCCCTTTCAACCCTCACCGACGAACTTCACCTCCTACGCATTCCCCGAGACCAATTGTCCCCGGCACGCCCTGTGGTCCCTTAAATTCTCAGAGTTCACACTCGCGAGTTGTGAGAATCTCTCTTTTTGAGAAACGGAATTCCCCCAACGGACCTTTTCTGAGGGCGCGCACCGATCAACGGTGGCGGGGCAAAGTGATAGGGAGTGAAAGCTCGGCAAACAGACCGACACGAAAAGGCTAGAGACACGATGGCGGACGCGGCGGTCGAGCCCGAGGTTGTGGGCGGTGCCCTGCAGACGGCCAAGGACCTCTTTTCTGGCGCCGCGGGCGGTGTTGCCCAGGTCTTGCTCGGTAGGTTTTTCAATTGCGCAGAATAATGAGAGGGAGAGAGCTGGCGATGAGATGAGCTTGAGATGCGCTTTTGGAGCCGACTT